ATTTACCACTGAGAAATAATAGAACAGTCATTTAGTTAAAGGATCAGCACTTCACATATCCAGGTATCTTGGCTTAGATTGAGATGAGTGTCAGTCCAGTATGAGTGGCATGGGAGAGTCTTCATTTTTGTTCAGCCTGACCTTTTAGCATAATCAATATAGAATGATTTTGATGCATTTGGGGTAGGTGAGTTTAGAGTTCCATGGCCGCCATGTTACTAAGCCGACACCAGCGACTGTCAGAAAAGATGGTGGTGAGGGGTTTGGGACATAACCAGTTGTTTGTGAGAATGAAACCAGACTGATTTAATTTTAATCAGAATAATCTAAAATCCTGTCGTGCAACGTACGTAGATTAAAATCCTGCTTCTGAACAGACTTAACATAAGTAACCTAGGAAGTACATAGTATTTTGAAGGTTGCATTCAAATCATCAGTCTCCTGCCTGTGATTCGGTGCACTTGATGATGTCTAAAAAAGCCGAAAACTCAATCACAACTGAATCTACAGAAATTCACTTACATAATGGTCAGTCAACAATGTCCCGAGGACTTTATACCCCTCACACAGGAATGACACCTGTCAACAAGTTACAATTACGCAGAGACATCTGTGATATGATAATTACTGATCATTTAGCAACAAATCTGCTATATTATGCCTCAGTGCCTCTTCACATTTAATTTTACCTGCAATTTTAATTGCGTCTGTAACTAAGACATTAGACAGTTTCATTAATATGCTGGAGCCAGCAGCTTTGGGTTGGATAGCAGTGATATCACCTGATCTACCGATACCATGACCCAATCTATAGAGACAAAAGGACAGTTAGTATCGGAAGTAGACCAGTTGGCTATTACTACTTGCAGAAATCACCTTACCTTGTCTCATGCCGATTACAACAATTATATACAGCCACAGTTTTATGTAAATTGACTTTATTATAACGATTACTGTGGGAATCAAATTTGTAAGTTTGTTTGTAAGTTCATACATGCTATGTACCGGTATGAACTTACAAGCTTGTTTTGGATTTTTACTACGGTCATTCATCAAGTTACAATTGCACACACTCCTGCTGAGTGATGGAGTCCAAAATTGTATTTAAATCACCTGGATATTACTGAACAAAAAACATGGAACACTGTAGCAGAGACCTTGTGTATGGTAACATACCTACACCATGTGAAAATGCTGTGACATCACCTTATCTATGATCCACAGTAAGAAACAATAAAACGTAAACGTATTAAAATAATTGGTTTTTAAAGGGGAATAAAGAAATGAGAGATATTACACAAAACAGGTACAATAGATATTGACAATTACAGTGGTTCTGAGAATTATTTGTCAGTTAGCAAGGCAGCTTGCAGCTTTGCAAAACATTTGATTTTTTGTAGATCTAGATTGACAACATGCCTATCAGTCAAACAGTGCCATTAAGTCTACCAATGCAAATAAAATGTTTTACAAAGTTGTGAATCATCTTACTCAACAACATAATCCTCCTGAAACCTTACTATTTAAAAGTCGCTTACATGAAAATGTGGCTTTAACGGCAATTTGCATGAGGTATGGCAAGGAGAATGAAATATACATGTAACAATTAGGGGAAAATTAAATACCATGACACAACAGAGTTTCTGAAAGACTTACAACTGTGTTCCTGTCACAGTAGCTTAGTGCCATCAGATTAGGTATAATACTACAGTGATTACAACACCAGCATTCAATTCAGTGAAGTTGGATCATGATAAAATATAGTAAACTGCTTTGATTCCCCAGGAGACTAATTTTCAAAAGTATGGGAATGTCACACAATTTTGTAGCAGTGAAGAATTTACTGTAGAATATGGATGAAACCATACAATTTTAAAAATGTTAGTTTATTATTAAAAAATTGGATTGTGATTTATCATAAACTAAAATTGCTTTTGTAGCACATATAACAGTAATCACACAGTGAAAAATAAAAAAGATGAATACACTTGTGCAGTGATTGTTATCGTATGTACCAAAACGTTTGCAACATATGCCTAGCAGGAATTAGGGTAGCATTGTTTTATTGAAACACTTGTGTGCTACACAACAGTGTTTTAGTTAAGCAATAACCCCCGCCGAAGGCGGGTATACCACGAGATATTGCACAATTCACGACATATATGCACGAGCCGCAGGCGAGTGCATATATGGAGTGAATTGTGCAATATCAAGTGGTATACCCAACTTCGGCGGGGGTTATTGCTATTATATTATACCAGTATATTGACAATTCGATAAAACTTGTAAAAAAAGAGTTTACTTTCATCTACTAAAAGATCATGATTATGGCCCTTGAACATGAATATTTATAAGAATAGTATGTAGTTGTACGCTGAATGCATACAAAAATTACATGCGCAACACAGTTCAAATTGAATACAAACTACTTTTTATTCCACATGAAAAAAAACATATCCACGTTGATAGAGCAGCGTAAACACACAATTA